TCTGGCCCGGAGGCCGGGCGAGCTCCCGGCGCGAGTCCTCCCCGTCCCGCCTCTTCCCCTTACCACGTAGCCCCCCCACACGTAGAGGAAGTTTCCGTCCACCACGGCGCAGTGACCGCTGCGCTCCTCGGCCACGCAGAACAGCTGCGAGTCCGCCATCCGCGCCGGCGCTGGGCCCAGCCGCTCGGCTCGCCGCAGCCCTGCCCGCGCAGCGGCCCGTCCCCGCCTGCTGCTCCACGCACGAACGGAGCGCGTCAAGGGCCGAGATTGGTGGGGAGACGGCACCGGTGCGTCTGCGCCGTGCCGCGCCCGCGGGCGAGGCCCAGCCCTGGGTGGCGCTGCCGGCTCTCGGGGCCAGAGCTGAGTCGCGCCGGCGGCGGCTCGGCTTCTCCCGGACCCCGCCGGCCGCCGGATGAATCGTTTGGGGTTGAATGGTTCTGACCGTGCGGCCTAACTTTGTACGTGTGGACCGAATAAATGGACTCTGGCCCACGGTGTGTGTTGCTGTTGTGGCATAAATCTCTATTATCAATTAATTAGCGCTCGGTGAGGGTTTGCCTTCCCCACTCATACTCTGGCAAAACGATTGGCCACACAAATAGAGGCAGGCTTAAGCGGTTGATGTTGAAATCCTCAAGTTCCTAAAACCCAGGAAGGCGGTGCTGGTCTTGGCGGGATGCTGCCGCAGACTGGAAGCTGGCACGAACACTGGCCCTCAGGCGGCCCCTCCAGCCAAGCTTGGAGGCTGGAATTAAGTGATAGCTTTCCTGTAGAATGACAGGGGCCAGTCGAAAATAGCCACAAGTGAAAGACCAAGTGTTGTGATGGGTCAAGGTCGAGCAAACCTCCCTTGCCCACAGGTACTATCCTGGACAAAACCCGCCCTTAACAGGGATGCCTTCAGAGACCTTGCTCTTAAACGCAGGCCCCAAGGAGAGTCCAAGATCACGTTGGGGAGCGCTACATGACCTGCAAGAGCAGTGGTTCTGTTACAGGGCAGGGAGAGAGGGGCACCACTGCACCCCCAAACCTGCCTGCTCTAAATAGGTTCTGCCACCCCCCCATCAAGACAAAACACATAAGACTTTAATTAAAAGGAATTTTAATACAGTGAGTATACAATACGAAAGACAAAGAATATAACTTCTAAATCAAACACCTGAAGTTACCCATCCCCTCGTGGGCAAAAGTCAACCCAAAAGGGATTGGCCCAAAGCAAGGCCTGAAAGCCTGCAACAAGACTAAAGCACCTTCTGGCCGGGACCCATAGAAAAGGGTCAGAAATGGCCAGACAAGTCTGGGAGGAAAAGAGCAAAATCAAAATCAATATAAACACTGCCATAGTGTACCTCCCCATGGGTCTCTCACCCACATCTGTTTTAACCAGTCCAGAGACAAGAAACAAGCACTGTTTCTTCATCACATGCTCCCTTCTCCATGTGGCTTCCTCAGGTCTCCTCTGGCTCTCTATCCAGCTTCCTTCTTCCTCAGATTCCTTCTTTTCTCTTTTTTTTCTCTTCTCAGCTTCACCCTACTTCTGGGCCGGGGAGGGAACCAAGAACTTCCCCTTTTCCTAGGGACCACCTTGTTACAGTTCTTCAATAAGTTATGATGCTAGACATTTTGTTTAGTCATTAAGAAAAAAGTGTATGTATGTATTTAGGTAATTTAATTTTAATTAGGAATTTCTTAAAATACATACCAGCGGGCCCTCCCTGGTGGTGCAGCAGGTTAAAGCACAGCACTGAGGCTAAAGCCGCTTCAGCACAAGTTGATCCCCACCCAGGAGGTGACTCACATGGTGCAGCAGACATCTCCTAACCTGCCCGCTGCTCCCCTCAGCAGTGTACTTCATGTTCTGCTCCCCACTCTGTCTCTGGTGAATCCTCTCTCTGGCCTGTATCCCAGTTCTGTATGCATAAATAACTCTTAAAAAAAAAAAATACATACCAGCAAGTTACAGGGAGGCCAAATTCCTCCTCTCTCTGTTTTTCTGGTACCTACAAGGTAATGACAGGTTTAGATTTTTAAATGGTTGAGGGGAAAAAGATGAATGATATTTCAACTTATATAAAGATAGATGATCTTTCAGATTCCATACATAGATAACAACATAGGCAAACACTACTACATTGGTTTCAGTGATGTCCTTGGAAATTTGACTAGAATCAACGGAAGCAAAAAGAAACAAATGGGACTACATCAAACTAAAAAGCTTCTGAACAGGAAAGAAACTACCATTAAAACAAAAGCTTTTTTCATATGTTAGCACATATACAAATGTTAGCACATATACATGTTAGCACATATACATCCAATAAGGAGATAATATCCAAGGATTCATATGACTCAACAAGAAAACAAATAACCAATCTAAAAAAAATGAGCAGAAGATCTAGATCACAAGCTCTCCAAAAAAGATATACAGATAGAAGGCCAATATGCACATGAGAAAATATTCATCACTTGTCATAAGGGAAATGCAGGTCCTCCCTGGTGGCACAACAGGTTAAAGCATAGCACTACAAAGTGGCCAAGGCCACTTCAGTTCAAGTTCCGTCCCCAACCAGGGAGCTGACCCACATGGTACGGCAGACCTCTCCTTTCTCACCCTTTGCTTCCCTCAGCAGTGTACTTCTCTGCCTGTTCTGCTCCCCACTCTGTCACTCTCTCTAGTGAAGCTCCTCACCACCTCCACACCTCTGGCTTATACCCCAGTTCTGTATGTATAAATAAGTAAATCTTTTAAAAAAAGGGAAATGGAAATCAAAACCACAGAGAGATATTATCTTACACCCTTGACCACAGCCCATATGAAAAACAAGTTTTGGTGAGTGTTTAGAACAAAAGGAACACTCATACTACTGGTGGAAATGAAACATTCTACACTATGTAGAGAACAGCATGAAGGTTTCTCAAAATACAAAATACATATCTACCACATCAACTAGCAACTCCACTTCTGTCAAAGAAAGTCAGGCAAAAAGTGGAGGGAGACAAGAGAGACTATCAGCAAGAAACTACTGCATTAAAGAAAAATGCTCATCATGAACTGAATTCAGCATCATGGAAACAGAAGGCAGAAATTAAATTTTTTTTAGAAGGTAGAAGTTTTAAGGGCTTAAATGAGCTAGGAGATAGATCTGGCGAAGGGGATACCAAGGGGGGTTGAACCAAGACTAAACCAGTGAATTCACTGGAGCTTATCCAGAGAAAAAACAAACCTCTTATCTTTATGTACTCAAAGATATTAAAACTAAGAGTGAACCGAAGTTGAAAAATAGCTCAAGGAATACCTGTGTGCCGTCGGTTTCAGTTTAGTAGTTATTAATACTTCTATAATAGCTTTATAGTTCTTGTTTTGTCTGTTTTTCTTGCTGAATTTTAATGTTACACTTGAGCATGCATCTCTTAAAAGTAGGCATAATGTTCAATTTGCTCATTTCCTAAAGATAAGAATGTTCACATACATAAACACAATGTCATCATCACAACTAAGCAGTCATTATTAATATAATTTTATATCCAACCCATATTCTAGATTCCTGAATTGCTTTGGAAATAAATATCACAATTTCTGTAAATTGGGATTAGCTGATTGCGTGATTCAGTCTTTAGTCTCTCATGAGTTTAGAGCCCAGATAGTGGTTAGAATCTGTAGTTATCCGAAATTTTCATTAAGGCTGGAAAATCTGCTTCTGAACTGGCTCACACACACTGACACAAGATAGGAACTATAGGTGCTGGCAGTTGTCAGGAGGCTTTGTTATCCTTATAGTTGAACCTTTCCATTGAGCTACCAGGGAGCACCTGGGGTCCCTAATTGCAGGTGGCCCGGGCGAAAGAGCAAAGCAAAAATAGCAGTGCATTTTATGACCTGGCCTTGCAAGTGTGCGGGGTCGTCTCCTGCTTGCTCCAGCCTAAGTGGTTCGTGGCCGTACCCCGCCAGAGGCTAGGATCCGCTTACTTCTGCAGGCAGCAGCGGCAGAGTCTCCGCTCAGCTACAGACAGAACAGGAAGGGGCGGGCGCTCCCAGGGGGCGGGGCCAAGAGAGTGGCGCCAAAAAGCGAACATGGCGCCGGAGCGCTTGCGGAGCCGGGTGCTCTCAGCCTTCAAGCTTCGTGGTTTGCTGCTGCGGAGGTGAGTCCACCCGAGCTGCATCCACCGTGCTAGAGGGGAGGACCAGGCAGGCAGCTGCTCAGGATATAGAATGTAGAGTATAGAGTGTGTCTCTATCGGGACGCAAGCAGAGGGGGTTTGCCCTCAACGATACAGACCCTTAAAAAGTTGTGAGAAGCGAAGATCACCCACCTGTCGTGGTCTTTAGGCTGCAGAGTCGCAGTGTTTCTCCCGGCTGGACCATGCCCTCCTGCCTGTGCCACTTTGAACCAGAAAGGCGGAGGTCTCTGTCACAGATGCGGTTTATTAGTCCCTCTCAACCTCCCGGAGGCGCTGCCTGCGTAAAAATAGAATCTTAGCAGCTCGAGGGAGAGACCTGGGAAAACCCACCGACCTGTCAGTATTTGTCAACTTTTGTTGTAGATATTGTGAGCCTTTCCAGCCTTTCTCAATTTTAGGACAGGTATTAGTCTTGAGAGGAACTTACTGATGTTAAGAAGTTACGTTTGAAGCATGTTCCTAAATCTCCTCCACTTTTTTTTTTTAAACTGAGAGTTCGTTAAAAATTTGTCTAATAGGTTCCTCATCATATCCTTATTTTCTAGGACTTAAAGGATAAACTTTTACAGGGTATCTCTCATTATATCGGTTTTATTTTTTGGTTAGAATACAGTATTTTTTACATATTTAAGTACCAGCTGGATGGTATATACTTTTTCTGTACCAGGTTTTGATTGTTTGTCAGGGTGGCAGTGTTTCTGTTTGAATTTGGTATGATGAATTTTATGGAACTTACAAATTTGCTTTTGGGTTAGGGGTGAAATATCTTGGGCAAGAGTTGGTCCCTGACATTTTGGAAATATGAGCAGTATAGGTCAATTAACCTTTCTTTTCGTTTAGAATTTGACCTGATGTCAAGTTGTCGTTGACTAATTCAATCAGAAATACATTGAAATCTGTTAGCCACAAAGTAATGTGTTGTAGCAAGGGACTACAAGAAAAAGTAAGATACTGTGGAGCTTGAGGGCACATAGTATATTTGTTATTTTTTGCAGCATAACAGTTACCCCAAAAGGTGATTTAAAATAACTCACATTGTTTCATATTTTCCATGAGTCAGGAATTCATTAGGCTTTTTGAATTAGTTTCGGTCTTGGTCTAGCAGGCTGCAGTTGAAGATTATCACAAATGTCAACTGGGTAGGATTCCCACCAGGTTCGATTAGTGGTTAGCAGGATTCAGTTCTTGCAGGATTGTTGGACTGTGACTATCAGCCCTGCTGGCTTTGGCGGAAGGCTGCCCCAATTCCCAGCATGCGGCTTGTTCCATCAAAGCTCGCAAGACTCAAGAGAGTAAAGTAGAAGTCACTGTCTTTTGTAACCAAATCAAGGAAGTGACTTCTAGTTTTTATATTTTAAAAATTGTAATACAAGTAAAATATTCATCACCTTTGTTATAGTCTGTTGTTAGAAGCTAGTCACTAGGTCCAACCAATACTCACAGGGAGGAAATTGCACAGGTATTTGAATACCAGGAAGCATGGATTATTAGGGTTACCATAGAAGTCTGTCTACGATGGATATTATATAATTTAGAATTACTTAATTTCAATTATGAAAATGATTTTGGGAAAGAAGTGCTATGGTAGTATATGGCCAGGTGTATATCTGCTCTAAAGTCAGGGAAGCATTTATTGAAGTGGTTTGAGCTGAGTGTTAAGCAGCACTTGTCTATATGAAGAGAAATGTAGGGGAAATGACCACATAAAGTCGATTAACCCTAAGGCAGGAGAGTGCCAACTGGATGAGCTGAGATATGGTGTGGGCCAGATCCTGTATAAATTTACGGATTTTAAACTATTATAAAAACTCCCGGCCCAGTGGCGCAGTGGGTTAAAGCACAGCACTGAGAATCTAAAGCCGCCTGCCGCGGAGGTGACCACATGGCGTGGCAGACCTCTCCTGACCCGCCCGCTGCTCCCCTCAGCAGTGTACTTCG